CAGTAATGTGTCAGTTTAATTTTGATTCAATCAACATAAGTTTGATACGACATGGACATCTGTAAATTATGTACATATTTTTTTTTTTTTTTCACCAGCAGAATGTCAAATATAAGTCGTATAACATAACATTTCAAATTAAACACGATTACAGTTTGTCATACTGTATTCGCAGCGTCAAATTGTTATTATAAGAAGCGTAAATAAAGGTGGTCAATGTGAGCACTTTCTCACGGAACTGCACCGTATTTCACGCGCAGCATAGTGCGATGCGCACGTGTATCGAGCGATCGAAGAGTGAAAGGAAAAGTGGAGATTCCTACTACAGGTTGAATACATACTCTCGTAACGCTCCATTGATGCAACGAGTAACGAGTATTCTAGTTTCAGTTTATGCTGTCACGCTCTTTCATTTTTTTACTTTGATCTTAAAATTAATGTTACTTTTTTTTTTACTCTCAGTAAAAACACTTACAGTATAATTATTGTATTCAATTATTGTACGTTTAATAATTAACTTTTGCATACCTTGTATGTGAAATGGTAAACAATCTAGAATACATTGGAGGATCCTCAACAAAATGAGAATCGATATCGTCTGTTTGGAATGCTATAACGAATTGTAATTGATACAGGGCGTGGCCCTGGATAAAAGCTGAAAGCTCGTTAAAAGTATCGAAAGTCAAGGATACTGCTTTTAGTTACACCTTCCTGAAAGTCCATAAAGAATTTTATCGTACAGTAACATTACACCGGCATTGTCATACTCAAAGTATGAATAAAAACGATGGTCGAGATAAGGCACACAACTGACTACAATCGTGTCTTTACCTTTATTACTTCTTTTCGCTTGGAAAGAGATACCATTTTGAGGAATATAATCCATATGCCCTTAAGAATGTTCTATAAATTATACAAAATAATAAAAAGCAGTTTCTATATTACGTTTGCTGTACAATATGCAGGAATTTTTCTAAATACTTTAATAATTCTTCCCAACGTTTTTATCTCTATTTTTTCACTCTATGCAAATTCTTATAGCAATAATCTTTTTTGCTTTCAGGAAACGAATAATTCTCTCTTTCTCTCTGATTACCCTTCTGGTTTAATTTGAAATCCAGAAAATTATGTTTCTTACAAATATATTTTTTAGTATCAATATTGTATCAATACAATATTGTATCAATTTCCAAAATTCACGGCGGGAAGACACGACGTGATCCTTTCCCTTTGAACAATTCGCAGAACGGGCCATGAAGTGGATAGGAATGCTGCTTCATGAATGACGTTCACCAGGGAAAGTAGGAGGGATAATCAAGAGTCCGGGACGTAATTCTCAGAAACAGAGAAAGAGAGCACTTTTCACGTCCCTTTCCACACACGATGAATCCCAATGACTTTGTGAGTCATCACATGAAAATTGTAATGGATGCAATGAGGTGTCTTACTTTTTAATAAGTACCAAACTCAAGCAGAAGTCAATCGCCAAAGTCGTTATCATTTTTTATGCACTACCATCTCCATTCATTTCTCCTTTGCTTTCTTAAAATCTTACATTAAAAAATTGCCAACACACTCAAAGGGATCTTTGTATCTTCTTAATTTTTAGAGAATGAGTTATATTACCATACTGCGTTATTTTATTCTTTTATAAATTTTGGTAAAAGTTGTCTGATCGATGAAATATTTTTCCAGTATACTTCTACACTCACCGAGCATCGGCTTCCCCATAAAGTTTCCAACGTCATATCCAAGATAAGGGAATCAATGGGGGAGAAAAAAAAAAAAAAATAAGAGAAAATCGATCAGTGCGACAGCAATCTTTCTAGAGTAAATATTGGTGCAGGGATCAGACGGATGACTATGTTCTCTATATCAAAACTCTATTGTACTTCCAAGATTTCACCTTATGGAAAAGAACTAGTATTAGATGTTAAACCTAATATTTCATTTTTCATACAAAGATTTGCAAATCTCTTTTAAAGACACAGAAATACAATATATTGACAGAGTTCCAGATAAAATACTTCATCACTTCATCAAAAACAAAGACAGTAGAAGAACAATATTTTTTTATCCAAGCTAGAGATGATAATTTTTTTAAAAAGGAAAGATATACGTGGTAAAGATGGAAATATGGAATGAAATATTTTATCAGCAATTGTAGAGTAATCTTCTTCAACCACATGATGAAGTAATGCACATGATGAAGTAATGTTCAATCTTTGAACATTATCGGCATGTTCAGAGACGTAGGAACGTTCTCGACGACGACGACGACGCTGAGACCTCTGAAAATAGCCGCCATTGATTCTCTCTCTCACCATTCCAAATGAAGAACCATTCGATCCAAAATAGTCTGTCCATTCGATCTCTGACAGTTTTTACATACGCGTTATATTTCGTATAATTGTCAAAAGGTTATCGCACTGCAGATCTTTCAGTGACATCTTAATCATGACTAAGATATTTGCTCCTTCTTTTTATCCCTAATTTATATTCTAGCCTCAAAAAAATGATAAAAAAAGAAATACCTCGAACTCTGTTTCTAAAGATATTTAAGTTAATTCCACGTCTACTGAATTAATCAATTAATTAAAATCAAAGAGTAGAAATCTTGTATGTTATCAATATTCTTCTATCCAAAGAGGATTGCAACGAAGCGACGCATTCTGCCGTCACATTTCTTCATTGAAAAGGAACATCCATTCGTCAGAACGATCTTATCAACCGATCAATGAAACGTTTTATTGCTAAAAACAGAGAAGGGTTTATGGCATGGCGAGTAAGCGGCAAGTCATCTCCACGGCAGACGTTTGGCAACAAACATGTTATTTCTGGATTCTTTGCCGAATCTGTCTGAGCTTTCGAAAAGCCAACGATATCATTTGGATGGATGTGGAATGAGCACTTTCGACGGTACATCTACGAAACTTACCGCACATGCACCATATTGATCTCATTTCGTGCTTGTATATCGGTACATCGTCACCCTCCTCCTCTTAGAAGGGGCGTTTAATGCAATTGGGGTGGTTTTAATAGCCGTTGACTCTACACGCTTCTACGAGTAGAACAGAACTCTCTCCAGGGACAAGCTCTCTGGCAAGCTCAAATTATAATACGCATTGCACACAGTTCCTTCGTTGCACACTCGATGAAAACTACTGGCTTTCGTACTGGGATCTATTAAGATCCAATATCCCATTAACAATATTTCTCAACGTAACGAGTTAGTAGTCAAATATCTTAGCGCTTTTACTTCATAGTATTTGAAATAGATCTGAGAATCTTTGCATCCCTGTATCCATGTTATCTTGTGTAATTCAATTGTGTACAAATATCTGTGTAAAAACAAAAATTGTCTGCTGAATATTCATCTGTAAATCTCTATTGCTTTTCGATAAATTTCATCATTTAAACGCTATTTTGTTCCAGGAATGTAGATACCAGGTTGATGAACAGAAACAGGAATTATGTTTTTGAAAATCTTATGCTTTAGAACAAAGTCAGAAATTTCATAGAATACGTGAGTATAATTAGAGAAAATTATCATTGCATTTAAGAATCGGAAGATCACTTTATTCAACTGATGATAGCAGTTGACAGCAATTTCTGCTATTGTCATAAATCAACAATCACTAATAGATGCCATTTCTCTTCTAGAAGGCAATCGATTTTGTTTGTTCATTATGCACCAAGATGGCGATCGAAGCCAAATGAAACGAGAACGTACGAAAAAGGAGGGAAACCATGGCCAATTTCATTTGAATCATCAATTCTTGGTTTCCTTTTACTTTTATTTCCCCTTTACATATGAGCAATCTGCAATTCCACGTTACTCCTGTAAAATCTGCTTCTCATCTGCTTAAAACTTCCTTCACATTCCCATAGATCAATATCAATGGATAGATAAGACTACCTACTCTCTCTATGAACAGAAATCGACTTATGAATCAGTTCATTTACAAACAAGATGCTAGATGGAGTGATATGTAATATCATAAGTTTAGAACTACCTTATTGGTGTGGCATCATGCAATTATTGTGTTATTATAATCCCTTTGCTATTAACAACTGTATCTACGCATGTCATAAAATTTTCATTGAAATTCATCTGTATGGACTGTTAGTGCCACTACACATTCTGTCTCCTTTTAGTAAGTCTCTCGTCTGCATACGTCGAAACACAAGTACATGTTCCTTTGCATCTTTGCAACAAAAATCTAAAATTGTATCGTCGATAAGAAAATAATACAATAATTGATACAATAGTTGAGTGGGACAATTTCAATCTGATGATTGTCGAAATAAACGGATCGTTAGTGTTGTTTACATGAAACCAAGGTCAAAGTTCGAATTGAAATAAGTAACACTGTGTCGAACAAACTGAAGATTTTTTTATCATTTATTTCAATAATACGCGATAATACGCACTGCGTTGAGACGGGGAGCACGATAAGATAATTGGGAAGTTTTCACGGTACCAATACAGCTGTAACGGTCACGCGACCGCCATGAACTATGATAATTGGCACGTTGACAATACGAAACAGGTGATTCGGTGCAATAAATACCAAATTCTTGCATTGTTCGTGCAACAGACGAGGAGTGCGAATATATTCAATGTTCGAATTTTTATATACCATGGAGTTCTCAAGAATATCGATAACCGGTATTTTCACTTTTTGCCTTCTGAAAATATCGGCATATTGTGACAAGAATAACCGGCAAGCAGAGAAAACTAAATACATGCCGGTGAAACGACGCAGAAATTGGGCCACTCTATAAATAAAGAAATTTTCGTACAACATGTTCAAATCGTGCAAGAGGGAATGTTGTATTTTTTTTGTTCAAATTTTTTTTTACAACGAGAGCGTAAGAAGATAATAATCCCACAAGAAGTTTGACGAAAAATTAATTAGATAAGCCTTCTTAATTCCCATGAGCAACTACAGATGTTACCTTTTATTTATCCAGCAAACAAATTAATAGTTTGTAGGTTAGTGTACTTTGACGATTCTGGTATCTGTCCCAATACCACTGCCAGGATTTTTAATTTTGTTTCTCAATAGTTTACGCTGTTAATCTTATAGTTGAAATGTCAAAGGAGAGTTTTGAGGTTATTATATTATTATACAGAGCATATATAATATACAACACCATATAGTAATATCTTTTTGATATTCGAATTTTACCTGGCACCATTCTTATACTTGACGTTAAAACTTTTTACACGAGTAAAAAAAGATCATTTGAGAAACTTAAGTTCAACAATGATCTGGTACCTTCGACTCCCACGATTTGGTTTTAATAACAAAAAAGTTTACACAGAGGGAAGAGAGCTCACCCTTGAGAAAGTGGAGTGCCGTTCAAAAGGGTCCCGCCCCGATCTATTTGCAGGCTCGAAGAACGATTTGCTATCTTCGTCGAATTGTTGTTTAATCTCCTGTAAAAGTTCATCACCAGATTTACCACGTAGCCTATCGCCGAACTTCGATCGGTCGCGAAAGTAGAAAGACATGATTGCGCCTGCACGCACACAACCGCTTCATACACAATTTGGTGAACGTTGCACTTGTTGCCTTTTATCTAACACGGTGTACTAAATTTAACTCGAAATAGTTTCTTTTATTTCTTTTTCACAGCAGTCACGAAACAAATCTGTCGTGCGACTCCCCTCCGGAGGATTACGCGTGACTGAAAGCTGGCGCCGAATTATGGCAAGGATAATCAAACGGCACGCATGCGTATGTCGGCTCGTGTAATCGTATCTTTTCGACGCGAAAACGCGCGCTTATTGGCCTGTTTTCAATTGCCGGCCAATCATGGAACGCGAATTGTCACTGAAACTTATCTTGAACCATCTTGATATCCGCGATGCATGCTCCGATACGCATGCAACGTTTGTTGGAGTCTAAATTTAATCATTGGCTATTTAAGTTTTGCAATTTTTTTTTTATTTATAACACCGACACACCGGAATGTCCCGTGCAAACACTCTCATTTATTGCAACGCAATCGATTGCCCTATTAGAAGAAATTACATCCCGCCTTATATAATGATCAGCGAATAAATGATTAAAAAAATAAATGATACAATTATTATTCGTTTGTTGTTAATCTATCTTTGAAAAAAAAAAAAAAATACAATTCGAATTGTACTTGTATTGACAACTTCACTTGTAAATAAAAATTTGCGTTGTTTAAAATTTGTCGATTTATCGTATAAAACATTTCGTTTCTATTAAAAAAAAAAGAAAATTATATAAAGTAATTTAACATATGCATGTTGTATGTTATGATAGTATTTTATGCCTCTGAATATATTTCATTTCACGCACGTTATTACGGATAGACATGTGCACGCACATATCGCCATCTACCATAGGTAGACTACCATAGGTATACTACCATAGGTATACTACCATAGATCCTCACGTGGACGCTGAACATAGCGAATGGGTAATGTCGCTTAAACTACGATAAACTTATTTAATATTTATAATATTTGTACAAAATTTTATTTTGTGATAAGTGTTGTCAAATACGTTACGTCTAGTTGTAATCGAATATTGTTGTCTGTAATTATTTGGATTTCTTTTTTTTCTTTTGAATATAACCTAACACGATCTTTTGAAGGTAAATCTCCAACTTCATTACTATTTCTTTTTTTTTTAAACTGCTGTATTTAAAAGTATTTATTTTGTTAGTAAATAATTAAGAATTTTATTATATCGCATTTTAAATATACTATTCTTAATAATTTATATATGATTTGTCTTATGAAGGTAGAATTGAAGAAAAAAGATAGAATTGGTAGAGTATCAGAACAATGTCTGTGTTCTATGAATGCATTATTTGTCATCACTCAAATGCTAGTGTTGTAGATTTACATAAGCATCACATGGAACATCACAGTTTAAAAGAGTTATCACAAACTATTATTAATCTCCAAGGCTTCAAAATCTTGAACAATACAAAATTCACAGAAAAGAAATATTTGCAACCTATAAATGTAGGTGACAACAATAATAATGAAAATATATGCAATCATGTTTTTATTGAACCTGAATCAAAATATAAGTATAAAAATAAAGTGACAAATTCACCAAGAAAATTCACCCATGATAATTGTTCTATAAACTGTAGTCAATTTATCGCTTGGGAACGTGAATTATATCAAAGGAAGGAAATAAATGACGAAGACTTTTTTAATATCACTGAGAGTCTTTGTTGGGATTTAAGTAAGAGTAGAAAAAGACGTAGAGGAAGAAAGAAAAAACATATAACAGGTACAAAAGAAACAGATGTTTTAACGAAAAATTTATTAACAAGAAATCAAATTGATGAGATTATTGGAGTAAAGAATGAATATACGGAAGAGGTAAAAACCGAGCCTTGTCAAATAGCAACGACTTCATTTTGGAATCATACAGACTCAGTTACCAATACTACTAATAATACCAATACTGATAAAGAATTTCTTTCATCAAAGATAAAAACTAAAATAAAAGATACTGACAAAACTGAGGTTACATCATTGAAAATTGTTAACACCGATACAGATAACAGTGTTTTAACATACTATTCATCATGCAATAATTCTCCTTGGAATTCTATCATTAGTGTGAGTGGTGACGAACAAGAAATGTCTGCTGATGAAAAAAATGTTTATCCTCGATCGGTAGAAATTGATATTGCAAATTTTCTTTAAAGAAAATATGCTGCATTTTAATTATACAGAGAAATATGAAGACTGAATGAGGTATAAATAATGTAAATAATAATTTTTTTATATTCAAAATTCCATTAATTCTTAAATTAAGTTTATTACTTTTCAGATTTAAGTACGAATATCAATGTAAACAAAAAATTTTTTTATTTTCTTTTTATTAACAAAAATGTTTTATATACGTAAACAATTTGTACAAGAATTTTAATGTTTTGTCATATATTAAATACATAAATGTTCGTTCATTCATTTATTCTATAAATAAGTAATGCATGAAAATTTTGTTTTATTTTTATTACTCAAATCTTATCAGAAAGTAAATTGTAAATTTTTCTATGTAAGACGTAAACGTACTTGTAATAAAATTTTGTGAATTACAAAATTCATGATATAATCTTATTTTGACCATGATGTGATGTATCCCGCAAAATCTTAACTTTTTATAAACTCAGAACTTGGATACCATACTCGTACTTGTATAGAAATAAAATCTAAATTTTTAAGTAATTTTAAAACTTGATTAATAACAGTCCATTGAATTAACATCTTCTTTTTTATACATCGTTAATATATCATCCAACACTGAACCAAAACCCGTGGTATATGTAGCTAGCCACCGATCTTTCTCTTCAATATATGCATCGATATTCATATCAAAAATTGTTTGGAGAAAAATTTGCCTAGTCACACAAGAAATATATTGAAATGTTTTCTTCTCTGATTTTTGCGGTTTATTATCGACGCCAGAATTGTTGTAAATAGAAGCAAGTAGACTTGCATCGTTAATGTCTAGAATTTCTTCGATCACATTATTAGAATTATTGAGCATCTCGCAATTGGAACTTGCATTAGTCGGAACATCATTAATCAGCGATTCGTATTTAACGTAAGAGACATCCATGGTAGCACTATCTTTGGGTAAAGGCAACGCTGGTAAAGGTTCGTTAAGTTTGTATTTTAAAAGGAATGTTTTTAATTTATTTATTATAGCTGCCGACATTTTGCACACTTCAAAATCGCTATCTTCTAAAGTAACCAAAAGGACCTAAAATGCAATGCAAAATATGACTTATTGATGAAGAAGTACATATATTATATAAATTTACTTACACCCAAGCAATTTTGTTTTGCTAATTCATCTAATGCTTTATTGAGCCTTCGTTTTATTTCAGTTTCATTTAAAGATACAATTTTCCTGTGTTCTTTTGAAAATGTTACTTTCGGGAAATGACCATCAAGCACACCTTGATCAGATAAATGCAATGTTATAACGTGATTCCAATATTCCAAAGCGCTTATTTTTACTTCCCAATGAAGATCAAGCACAGCAGTTTTTGCCATTGTCAATATCATTGAATCGATGATATTTTTTCTAAATAATAATTATATCATCAATAATATTAGAATAATTGATAATAGCGTTTTGCACAACATTACTCACGGCCATTTACGATGTACGTATAATTCCTTCAATAAAATTACTATTTCCTTTCTGACTATGCCCTCGCTCTCATTTTTGAGCAGAGTTATTGCAGTATTCTGGAATAAAGGAATATTGTTTTATTTTTAAACAATAATCGAAAATTATATTATGTGTCTTAACCACACGTACTGGTAAATCAAATTGCGATAATTTTTCTTCCCATAATTTATTTATACGAACAGTTGTCGAAAGAAATACTAAAGCAGATGCCCGAACATAGCTTTCACTGTCTGTCTTAGCAATTTCAACTGCTAGTTGTAAAAACTCATTTGCCAATAAATATTCTTGGAACGTTGGATATTCTACAAATATTTATATATGTTATATATTGAAATAACACTTACTACTATAATAATTACTTACTATCCTCCGAGATTACAGCTATAGTATTTAAGGTTTCCAATACACTATCCCTTACTTCCCAATTTACATCATGTAATCTTTTAAACAATGTTGGTCCGATCTCTCTCATATGACTATCTGTTTCAGTTAATAGTACTAAATTGGGTGACATAAAATTCTGGATTGCTAACTTACATATTTTTAAAGCTTTCACGCAAATCTAAAAACAAAATTTAAACATATTTATAATGCACAAATTACAAATCATTTTATATGTTTAAACTTACTATAGGTAATGTTCCAGAATGATTTAAAATTTCTTGACCTAATGACAATAAACATATAGTTTCTACACATTCTTGCCATTTTAATTTAAACTTTTCTGTCATGATTGCTAAACCATTTAGAAGTGATAATAATAATGTAGGATGATCAACTATAGGATCTCCTTCTAAGGGAAATTTATGTATTTGTTTTCTTGATACGTTTTCCAAGTGTATTGCATTAGTCATATTATCTAGAGTTTCATTACATGTATCTGGTACACAGTTTTTTAATACGTGACATAGTGCTTGAAATACAATAACTGCAATATCCTGATATGAGAATACATATATATACATATGTATATAGAATTATTACATATATGTTGATAATAATATAACATTATTATACGAAATTTTTATTATACATACCCTATCCATGATATCTGTTATTTCTATGAGCAAGTCAATATTTATTTTTGCAATCTGTGCTAAAGGTACATGATTTTTAAGTACAACATCTCTTATATTATATCCCAATCTTTGTATAGGTATACACGTTACATCAAACATTTTAGAAACAAACATATCAAAAATATCAGAATCTCTATATGTATGTTTAATACATAAACTCACAGGCACAATCTATTTGTACAAAAAAATGTTTAAATTATTTGCAATTTATATTTCTATAAAAAAGTATTTAAATCTTTTACAGTTATATAATCTGACTTACCATTATAATTATAATTTGATGTTCAAACTTATGTTCATAATTGAAAGAAAATTCTTGCAATGATTGTAACTTTTTCCAAAATATCATTAAAAATTTGTTTGTCTTTATTAATTCTACTATGTATACTTTAGATAGAAGCATCAGAAATATATAATTCAAATCAGTGAAGAACTTTTGCTTTGTTTCAACTTCTATTTTCTTTCCTTCTCTGATGAATCTTTTAAGGGGGATGAACAAACATAAAATAAATAGCTTATGAATATGTGACAAAACTTTTGTACTAATACATGCTTCAAATAATGCTTTTATCCTCATTTCTAAATCAATGACTTCTTGGCACAACTCAGGTATCGTATTATCTATATTTGCAAACAATGTATTCTCAATGATATTGGTTAACAAATCTAATGTGGTACATAATAATTTATTTTCTTCTAAATAATTATCTTGCAGCACTTGATGTGTCTGAGACTCAATAGTATTAGTCATCAATGGTGCACTCATTGTCAAAATAACTTCTTTACAAAAATCAACATTTTGTTGTTCATGTAAGAGCAAAAGCCATAAAAATTTATGACTTTCACGAGTGACATATAATGTGTGATTCCAATGAGCATACTTTACAACATCTTTCCAAGCACCTGTTAATTATATATTTCATTACCTTAATTGTAATTTATATGCGTTAAAAATGTTACTTACCAAAATCTATGATCCATTGTCTACCACTTTTGTGTTTAATCAAATTGATTAACATTGTAATATAAGCCATTTTGATAGACACTGGTAAGTCATCTTTATGCAGGTTAAAAATATCGCATAATTTATTGTACACATTCTTAAATTGCCAATAATGAAATCTTAATTCATTGTGTGAAACTAATCCTACAAGTTTCAATGTAAATGTAATTATAGGTTGAGAAGGAAGGCACTCAGTATTCCAAATGTTCAATGCTTTTAACACCCATTTTTGAAATAATTCACAGCTCTCATAATTATTTGCATTATCTAAAAAATAAAATATATGATGAAATACAGATTATATATGAATATGATAAATAAAAACAGAATAATCATAGAATAATAAAAAAAAAAAAAGATGAAACGAATGAATTCTAACTTTATTATGTGTTGTAACATGATTTATAAAATAATTTTCTTACACTCTTTAATATCATCGGAGATATGAGACAGTAGAAGATCGAGATAAGTAGTAGAAACGATGTTGTATTTAGGCATTAGAAATAGTTCTAGAACTTCGGATAATTTTTTATTATTATCTGATGATGACATTGTTTTGTATTAAATTTTTGTATATTTGTATGATAGACGCAATACAAGTACATAGATATATATATTTTTCTCTACTTTAGTTTCATGCTTTTTTGTCTGCTAATAGTGTCAAAATACATGCACGATGCTGTTATCGCTTATTGCTTTGAATAGCAAGCTATTGTTCTTACAGTCACATATTTTCTGCGTTCTACAGCTCAAAAACTGGACGTGTAAATAAAGATTTGATTCCTTAAACGACTTGTAGATAACCAAACGCTTGCATGAATCTGGATAAAGATCTGTTTTCAACAAACTTAAAAAGTGATTGTTAGTTTCCCGCGAGATTTTCAAATTGGCAATAATGTATTTACGACGATGTGTTTATCGTAGAGCAAATTCTAAACGAAAGTATAAACAAATATCAATTATTACAGAAATATATTTGCTTTTCTAAAATTGTATATCTGTATAATCACATTGTAATTTTTCGTTATTTTATTCTATGCGTTTCACTCGAGAAGCGAAACTTATACAATTCGAAGAATACCTATATTGAATACCTAAAATGTATATTTTTAGTTATAATTCTAATACGTTCTTTCTTTTTGTCACATTCGATAATTTTAGTATTATTATTTTTTTTATATTACATAAAATTATTGAGTATGAAAGAACTTTGTAACTAAAATATGTATTCTTTAAATTGTATAATTGTCACATTTATAATTCCAGAAAAGTAAATGTATTTCTGTAATAATTATATATATATATTTCTTTTATCATATATATAATAAAAGAAATCTATTATTATAGCGCAATGAAACATTTATTTATTATTGCGTGCTTCAATGTGCAACATATAGAAGATTGTTGAAGTTGAGAACCTTTCATGATGAATTTGATATGTTCAGCTTATTCTTTCTAGTTTCAGTAGCAATGTTACCCATTAACTGGTGATGTTTATTTATCGTGCCTTTATCATTTCCATGCAATGAACTCGAATTTGTTACACTTTTTATCATAAATAAGAGAAATACATCTGCAGCAGCGGTAATAACGGTATAAAAATTTAAAAAGAATTATCACCAACTCCATTCGATGACAAAGGCATTTAATTACATTTTATACATGTAATAGGAGTTTTGACGAAGATTTTCACAAACTTTCACTTTTGTCATATTTATCATTTACATGTTTATGAATCTTCATTATAAAAGTATTGTTTATATCTTAGTTGTACAGATGAGAATCGTATTTCAAAATTTCAATAATCGTTTCTTTGTTGAAAGGTATTGCTTGACATTTTGTTATATTTATATTCGATAAATCTAAATTTTCGTACCTTCTATTTATTTAAATTAGAACATCGAAATATTTGAAATAAGAGTAATTTGTCGTGTTTGTGAACTATGTTGTAATAATAAAAATATTTGCTGACTCCCATTTGACATTTTTTTACATTTTATCTTTGCACGATGAATCATATCACTATTATATTCTTGAACTTTCAATTTAGTCATAGCATTATGAGTTTTAAACGAGTTTTTAATTTTATGATATTTCTCTAATACTGAATATAAAAATATGAAATTTTTGTAATATGTAAATTAATGTATAAATATATAGCCTCTTTGAAATATAAGTCATCTTTGACTTTTATATTATATTAAAACAAAACCACTTTTTAAATTCCTAATTAAAGTATTAGATATACAGAGAACACATTTTATAATCAAATTAACAAAATCATTTCTAAGAATATGTGATAGCATTGCTTTACCATTTGAAACCATATCACATTATTCCACTTCTGCTGAATTAATAATTACAGATATAAATTCAACATTCTGTTCATTATTATCATTTTAAATATCTTAAAATTACTATTACAATTTTAATGCATTGTGTTCCAATAAATTTCGTAAATTTTGTTTTTAGAGATTTTAAAAATATTTAAAAATGGCGTGGACACACTATCAATATGTTTTAGCATTACTTATGGTTGTTACTGGATCTTTCAATACGTTATCTGTAAAGTAAGTAAATTAGTGTAATTGCCAAATTATTGAATTGCAATTAATTGAATTCATATTTTTATTTTAGATATGCAGATCAACAAATTGTACCAGGTGAAGATGGTCAGCCTAGGCATTTCAATCATCCTTTTATGCAATCATCTTTTATGTTCATCGGAGAGATGATGTGTCTTGTAGTATTTAAAGTTCTTTATCATTATTATAGTCGCAGAGGTGTAAGTATCTTTTTTTGAATATATATGAATATATGTAACACATATATAACACATTTATATATGAATATATATTATATATATAACACATTCAATAAATATTAAATAAAAAGTAATATTAAATTTATCACATTAAAGGACAACTCTGTAGACAGCAATCCATTAACTAAAGGATCACATGTATTTAATCCTTTTATTCTACTGATTCCTGCCTTATGTGATACGTGTGCTACTTCTATTATGTATGTTGGTCTGAATCTGACATATGCTAGCAGTTTTCAAATGTTTCGTGGTGCTGTTATAATATTTACTGCTGTGCTTTCAATGGGCTTTCTTAATAAAAAACTAGAGAGTAGAGAATGGATGGGTATAATAATGGTTATAATTGGTTTAGCTCTTGTTGGGCTTAGTGATATAAGTATAGAAAAATCAGATGTCAGCACAAATTCCATTTTAACTGGAGATCTACTTATCATATGTGCACAGGTAAACTTTCATTTTATATTTTTCTATTTTATAAAAAAATTACTTTATTTTGAACATTATTACCATAGGTTATAACAGCTGTTCAAATGGTGGTAGAAGAAAAATTTGTAGCAGGACAAAATATACCAGCGTTGCAAGCAGTTGGTTGGGAAGGTTTGTGATGTTTCTGAAATACAAAAGATCTAGAAGATTTACCTAATACATAAAACTATGTTTATATGTGTTATGTATTTGTGTTATAAAAATATATTTTATTTAGGTATATTTGGATTCATTAGTATATGTATCCTAATGATTCCTCTTAACTTTATACATGCCCCACCTCCTTTTGCTGATAATTCGAGAGGAACGCTCGAAGCTACTAAAGATGCATTCATCCAGATTGGAAATAGTGGTCATTTGCTGATGGCTATAGTTGGTTAGTATACGCAGATTATACTTATATTTATTTGTCAAAAATTTATTTTTTAAATAATATATTTTTTAATCTACAGGCATATCATTCAGTATAGCTTTCTTTAACTTTGCTGGGATTAGTGTTACCAAAGAAATTGGTGCTACCACAAGGATGATATTAGATAGTATTCGAACAATTGTCATATGGGCTTTCTCTTTAGCATTTAGGTGGCAAGCTTTCCATTATTTACAGGTAAATTCTATAACTGATTTTTAAAATTTTTCCTATTTATCATAAAATTATATTACTTAAAATTATATAATTCGATGTTCCTATGTTCAAGTCCAACATCTATTTAATATATTTTCCTTTCATTTTGTGTTTCATCCTGTCACTTACTTTTACATCTCTTCATACATCACGCTGCCCATTAATGCATTAAATATTTTCATTCTTTTATGAAAATCATTCCTTTTCTTCTCTTCATTCCCCACATTTTCACCATTATTTAAATTAAAAATTATATTATTAATAAATGCATATTTAATTTTAATTTTTAGCTCATTGGCTTCAGCGTTCTACTCATTGGAATGTGTTGCTATAACAATGTTATTGTACCTCAACTAGTAAGAAAATGTAGATATCATCTAGGCCGTCATAGACCACCACCAAATGATCGTGAACGAATTATTAATACAGCAGCAGACGACATTCCAGAAACTCAATAAAGATATATTTCTCTTCAAGTGTGAATGTTCACGTTTTATGATACTGAGAACTATTATATAGTTCTCGCACGAAGCTCTAATGCATAAAGTATTTTTAGTTTTATTCGTAAAATTGATTTGTCAAAACTAGTAATTTTATAAAGTTAATTAATTAGCATAACATTTTTCAAAATGCATATTGCAAGAAGAAAATTTCAATTTGTCTTATCTTTTTAGTTGAATGTAAACTATAGTATTTTATATATAAATATTTTATACGAGTTCTTTAAAAGTGCATTATTGAAAAAGAAATTTTTATACACCATAATTTTTTAATAATTTTGAATCTCAAAATTTTGTTTATGAATAGTATTATAAATGAAATGAGAGTATCTTTTATATATAATAATATATATGTTATATAATATATATTATTATATTATATATATACGTAAATATATTTTACTATTGTAAAATAATGTGTTAAAAGTTAAATTAGCAGAATAATATCAAGTTATTTCTTTATGGCTTTCTTTATTTTATAATTTCTCAAAAAATTGAAAACCTTCCATCTTTAAAGACTAACTGAATATGTCTTATTACTTTATTTTGCTTTTGTATAATTTTTATTCTTATAAGAAGAAACATACTCATATGAAATAATTATTTATTAAGTAAAAATGGACTAGGTACGATATTGTACGAGACTTCGTGTCCCACATTCTGGAGTATAGATCTTAAAAAACAGTGTTTTTACTATTTAATACAGTAAACAGAAGTATTATATATAAATTAATTGTCAAAAGAAAAAAAATCGATATTATTATTCTTATGTATTATATAATAGTTAGCTGGATCGCGTTGTATCAGTAATAGAAAAATTTTGTTGAATACAATGGAAATTAGTTTGAAAGATATGAAAATTATTATCAAATTAGAAATAAATTAAATTTATTGGACGAAATTTAAAACTAAGACTCCATATTAAAACATGTTTATTTGAAAAAAAAAACAGAAACGTGAATTTAAAAATTAATTACAAACATTTTGTTAAATTAATTATATTATTTAATAGAAGGGTTAGAGAAGAAAGTATTTTATTTTTTGTTCCAAATTATTCAGAATGATGTTTCATAGTTCAAAATGCGCGCAAAGATTTTCAGCTAATGATTACAGCGCCAATTTTCGAATGTGATTCTCGAATATAATCGATATTTCTGACGATCGATCTATAGCATTAAAATATAACGTATAACTGTCAGTTTTCGGCGGGAAGCGCAATAAAAAGTACTTCATTCAGAAATTCTCAGGTAAAGACTATAATCAGTAGATTGTAATTTTTAGACTTGTATTTGCATTTTCAAGTATTGCTGCGACAATTATTTGAGAAATTCAGTCCCGTATTAATTAAAAGTGAATACGTATTTGAGCACCTTGTATATTATAGTGTAGAATCACAGGTAATAACAATTCGTGTTAATATAGGTTATACAATCATATTAACTTGTATAATTGCTCCAGCAAAATCACGTATATGGTAATTGCATTCTCTTCTGAAAATGCAAAAGTTATGACGTATAATAAATCCTACGTATGATAACATCTAATTTATTCTAACGAAGGCGGGCGTATTTTTATTAAATAAATAAATGATATTTTTGCTTATTGCGCAATTTCGTTGAAGACGATAAGAAAAACGCGCCATATTAGATTAGTACAAAGTATTAGCGTGTTTTTGCGTGCCCTGTTTCTGTTTCTGCAAAACTGAAATTTCAAAAATTAACGGTAAAGAATATCTTCGTCTCTGGTTTTATCTATTGAATTTCACAGTCATGATCGCGAGGTAAGATTCTCAAAACGAACATATATTGCTCGAGCAAGAGCATGTAAACGAATAACGATCACTAAGATCGATGATGTCGTCTCTGTGTGGGATCAGCTTCTCTAAAGTATATTTTTATTTCATATTTATAAGTTACTTTTTGTTTTTAGAAAAACTTGAGAGTCGAGTCTCAGCGGACATCGTGCTCGAAAGAAAGAAAAGATCTGGCAAACTGCTGATAAAAAAGAGCTGCAACAAATGGCTCATCATTTTCTGGATTTAGTCATTCTCATTACTAGCTTTTCATTATGTTCACTTTTGGTATTTACAGTAGTTTTTTTTTGTCAATACTGCATTTCCGAGTAATATCACGATTTTATAAATTACAAGACGAATGATTTTTATTTCATCAAAAATATTTGTCCCAAAGATTGAATGGCAAATAAAGCAAAGAAAACTTATGCTCTTATACTTTTATACTCGCAGTGTAGACCTATGAATATTGCAGATATTAAGTGGCATGTTTTATAAATATTATTTCATAGCCTACTGTGATATAAAATTTTCATAATGTCACAAAGTATAAATACTCCATTTCTGATATAATTTGCCCACTATTTTTGATATTTATATTTTTCAATCTTTTGATCAAATAAAAACGTATTTTATTTTTTCAGTTTTATAAAACAACGTTTTTCCCTACTATGAAAAACTATGCAGATCTGTACTATCAATCCGTAAGTTAATATAGCATTCTAAATAATAAATTGAATTAAAATTTTAATTTATTATAAACAACAATGTGTAACATTACAACATATTGTAGATCTGCAGACAAGCAACAACAACGACAATCAATTATCGAAGAGAAAAATAAAATTAATGTAAATTAAAATATAACTTTGAATAAAATTATTATAGTATTAGGTTAGTGTATATAAAAATATCGTTTTTTTTTTTCAAATAAAATTTTAATCTTTTAGATAAATCACGATGAATGCTGCAATTGCTGTTGTTGTACAACTCAACATATGTGCTATGTAAGTGCTATTAAGTACATTATCGTTATATCAAACAATTATTTCCTTAAAAATTTCAATTATTTACAGAAATATGTACAGCCGGAAGTACCGAAGTCCTTCGCCCCAATTCGCGTAAGTGTGAAACTTCAATTAAAATAATTCTTTATATCACGTATTTCGTATTCTGTAAAATAAATTATTAGCACCGATTCTAATCGAGAGATCCTAATTGACTGAATCCTAGTCGAGAGATTCTAAAAATACATTATTCGAAGGACCAGCGAATTTGGAAGAACAGTTGCATCCATAAAAAGCTTCTTTAAAGATTTTCTTCTTTCCTTAATAATATTTTATTACAACTCATTTTAATACAACTCGTTTATTATTTCAGTATTATTGGAGATCGGGTATCCCAATGGATGATAACACTACGTATCGACTTTCCTACTGGGAATGCCCGAGTGTTCCTGTAGATCCTATTTCACCCCAAAATTGGCTAGTTGTCGGAGATGGAGAAATATCAGACGAAACAACATACAAAGTAAGATGTTAGTTTCTTTTCGAGGATATAACATAGCTTGCCAATTTTTATATACATGTACGACTGCTTCAGAACAGTTATTTTAATCACTTATGCGTAAAACCTGAATCACCTTGTATACCTTGCGAAAAACAATGGCTCGGCAGAGGTCCTATACAAGATGTTACGACTCAAAAACACGACTACACATGGAAGACTATACCGCAAATAGAACCTTACAAAGCGCAAAATAATTTATACTGTCCACCTGCACCGCTACTCGGTAAATATCCGTAATATTAAAGAACGTTACATGTAAATTCCAATTCAAATGTTAAATATTAAAAATTCATATTTCGTATATAGTAGCAAATTAATTAAAATTAATAGGACAAAATTTGATGTTTTAGACGATACAACATATAAATTGAGTTACTATCAGTCCGGTTGTAATTTGCCCACACTGTCTTATGCTCCCATAAGAAAATATGTTAAGCCAGATGTTCCAATGGAAGATCATACAACATACAATCTTAGTTACTGGCCGAATGAGCCTATGAAAGTAAAAATGCAATATTTGCAGTCTAACAATAAGACTTTAAAAAGTTTCTGTACGACGCGACGCAATGAGATACTATTATTTCGATTATAATTATTTTACAATTTCATTATGTACATGTTGGCTCCACGTATTATCCAGAATCGGAATCAAAATTGAACAATCACATCAATTGAGAAAGGCATGAATTTTTAGAGAAATTTACTTTTCAGGAAGAACCTTTATGGAAAAGAGAAGAATATATGCCACCTGTCGAACCGATAGATGGGTGCACAACTTACAAATTAAGTTATTGGCCACATTCGGAGAAAAGACGTTCACCAATCAAGACACAGGAAAGTAATAATCTTTTAAATGCTGGTTGTTGCACCGATGACAACACAACTTATCGTCTAAGCTATTTCGGCTGTGGGGGAGATAAACAAAGTCTGATTCGTCAACCTGACAATATTCACTTCTCGTCTTGTCCTCTGTCTTATGACACTATACATCGGGTATGAAATTTTAAATTTTACTCGGTATAATCATAACATATAGAATTGGAATAATTAAATTTTTCGACTGTCCAAGTAACATTGTTGCCAGAGGATGATTAATCACAATGAAATTATTCATATATAACGAATGTATAACATTTCAGATGAGTTTTTTGGGCAATTGGTGTGTTAAACAAACATCACCGATTATACCTTGTGATAAACAATTATTAGGTAGAGGGCCCATGCAAGAGGTAACCACACAGAAACATGATTATACATGGA